ATACAAAATAATCCATCATTGGAATCGCCCTATCGAAATTGTAATAAAAAAGAGGTTTCTAGTTACATCTCTGCTTAGGATCTATAGCTTTAATCAATTTTCGGAGGTCTAAGGCCATTATTCTTAAACAATTTTTGTTTTGGTTAACCCTTACGATACAAAGTACACCTTAAATAAGAGATAGTTTGAAATGAAATGAAATGATCTTAGGCCAAATATTTTAGAGCTATATGATAGTCCTTCTTGATAGGACTTCTCACATAAGTTAGGAAAAGGCCAAGATATCAACACAAAATAAGTAAGGTTCGAATAATTCATAAATGCGGAGTTTGGTCAAGATACCTTAAGTCACTTTAATATGGCTCTTACAAGAACTTAACTTATTACAGCTATATGATATAGAAGTCCTATCTGGGCAATTCTTACAAAAATAATGCCAACGACAAAATTTCATAGACTTAATTTTTTACAAACCTACTGACGAATAGAAGGACATGGCAATATCCACTTGGCTGTTGATACTTGTCATGAGTAAATATGCTTCATGGGTTAGAGGAGACCAGCTCCTGTTCTTTCATTTTTTAGTGATATTAGAAAATCCTCTAAAAATTACAATGGGGTTTCTTTACAAAATCAGATTGTTTTAACGATTTAATTATAGTATAGTTGGTCAAGAATAATATATAACTGATTTATACAATGAAAGTTAATTTTTTCCCGCATACAGAAGGCAATCGGCCAAGCATATTATACCCTTTCTTAGCCATTTCATTATTAGAGGGTATAAAAAGAAAACTTATACCGGTTCCACCTAATTATTCATTTAGGTATGTATTTTTATAGTGTCGGATGACGTAAAACAAATTTAGCTTGTTGCCGTAGCACTAAAGTAGATAGAATAAATAAAATGAATTTTGTATAAAGCTGTTAAGAATGGAGATCTGTCATCGCGTTAAGATCCTTAAGAAACCTATAATACAATATCATATAATTATGTTAACCTTTGGAATATATACTTATTGTCAAAGCATTTTTTGTTGGTAGTCAAAGAATTATTTGTTAGTCAATCTGGGTTAACCACTCTGCTAAAAGAAATAAATTAACTTGAGTAAGCCGAAGACACGTGTCTGCAGATTAAATAAAGCCTTAATGCCAAGCAAACATCGTCAGATTAAAACTCTTTGGCATCGAATTGTTTGCCTGACATTTTAGAACATTGCGCTTATCTTTTACTTTATGAATTTTGGCAAACAATTAAATGCCTGCTAATGAGCATCGATAATTGGGTTAAGTTAAAAAATAACTAAAATGTTGTCGAGTACGGAGCGGGGGGAGTAAAAAACACGTGCATTGCCGCAGCAAAGTTGGCGTTGGCGTCGGCGTCGGCGTCGACATCGTGGTTGATTTTTACGTGGCGAAGCTAACGAGTCGGCAAAGTATTTTAATTTGTGTGAAAATATTGTACAAACAAATAAATCAACAATAACAAATAATAACAATAAAAATAAATATTATACATTTTATATCGATACACACAAGCGACACACACACGCACACGCGCACACATACACGTATGAATGCCTCCAAACGGAAGCTGAACTCCATTTATCTGTAAAAAGTTGGTCAAAATGGACATTTTTGTAAAGTCACGGCCACACGGCGCATGCGCCAAGCCAATGCTTTAAGCAAACAAAAAGCGCAGCATTTTAAAGTAATATCAACATCGAATCAAATAGAAAACAAAAACTAGAAATAAAGCAAATATTTTTCATAAATACAAATGTCTGTCTATTTATTGGCCGAGTGGGCCGAGCGCGCCCCTCAACAATGGAAACTAATTACAAATTTTGAACAGGGCTTAAATACTCGCTGCGAACCGAGTCCGAGTCCGAGCCGAACATGAACCCGATTCAAATCGAAACTCAACTGAACTGACCCGACCCGAACCGAAAGTGGCGCGCTTTAAAAGCAAATAAATAAATAGATAAATTACTAAAAGGTAAATAAATACGCGCACATTTTTGGACTACTACGAGTATTTGCTCTACGTCATCGGAAAGCGTTGCCCCCGGACAAACAACAACAATGATGGGACCGAGGCACTGGGGATCGCCTGGGAAATACAATAAAAATATTAAATATTTAAGCACATTATTAGAATCGCACACAAAGGCGCGACGAACTCTTGAGTCTGCATTAAAGAACAAGCATCTTTGCGACCGTGTATAATCATACAAATAGCACATATCGAGTTAGATGTACAGACACAACACATGTGTGTATCTGTAAGCACATAAATATGTTTGTACTCTGCTCTGTTGGCTCTGCACATAAACAAACTTTTATGTACATCAAATACAATTAAAGGTTAACGCACGCTTTCAAATGCTGTGTTTAACAATTCATTTGATTATAAAATGAACATATGTATATACATAATACGTGATATATGTAAATAACGTATGTATATATATAGTTTGTCGGATAAGGAGCTGCTGAGCTAGGCTTTTGTGAGTGGGTAAAATCTGCAACAATAACTAATACTACATTTATCTATCTTATCTGTAAACAAATTTATAATTTCTCATTTCATATGGAATTAATCAATTAAAGGTTACAAGCCTTTAAAATATGCAAATAATACCCACAGAAATTAATTCAAAGATATTTTTGAACATTACAGATTTCAAAACAAAACAGAAAATCATAAAAGAAAAATTACCCTGGCATGAATTAAATCAAATTAAATTTGAAAGATAACCATGAATTTATCTTGATGCTTGACAATTTAAACAACTTAACCAGATTGTGATGCATATATGTATATACACAGCTGATATGAAAAGTTCTTAGTAATATTGCCAGACAAAGTTCATTTAAATGCGGTAGGGAATATAGCAATAAATGCCATTAAGGTGGGCTACCTCCAAATATGTTCCGGCAAATGCCCAACTAATTTGCGTGCTTTGATATTGGGGAAATATAGAAAGGACTCGGCGAAAATCTGCACAAGCGGTTTCAACTTGGGTTTTCCGCGCATTTTTACCTTTCAGGTAACATATAATTGGGTAAAAATGTTCATTGAAAAACTGTGTGCACCGGTTAGGGAACGTGGACGGGAACGGGAACGGGAGCGGGAACGCGGATGCGGACGCACTACAAAACGCAAATTGCCCTGGCCATAAAGCAGTTATGGCCGTGATGATGAGTAAGTACAAACACACACATACACAAACACACACACACACACGCACAGGCACACACACATTGACTTGAAAGATACTTTAACAGCGAAAGGGTTAAATGGAATGCACAATGAAAGGCGTCAAGCGAAAATTGCTTAAAGTTTTTACAACCGAAATTAAAATGCGTTTTATCCATGGCCATAAATGGTCGGCGGTCCGTGGTCGGCGGTCCATGGTCCATGCTTGAGGAAGTATTCCACATTGCACGCGTCCAGTATTGCATCAATGAACTGCAGCCCAGGTAGAAGGATGATGACGACGCAGCCCAGAACTGGGTCACTTTCGCAATGACTTGCCAAAAAAGAAAGATGCGGCTGCTGCTGCGGCTGCTGCTGCTGCTGCTGCTGCTGACGATTGCTGCTGCTGTTGTGCGCGACGCCTCGCAACGAATGTGAATGAATGAGTGTGACATTGGCGTACCTTAACCTCAAATGTGCTAGCTTTAAAAAAGGAAGCAAGAAAAAAACACACACAAACACACTCGCACACAAACTGGTATTATTAATGTCTTGCTTCTTTGGAGCCAGGCACACATTCTTTTTGTTTTTGTCAAAAACGCCGTCGACATTCTCTGGCTAAACACAGCGTCTCAGCCGGCAGGGCTGGGGCCCTCTGCCTGGCGTGTAAGCGGGAGCGCGCGATTATTGATCGCATTAGAGAAAATCGTTAACTGTAACATGGCGTCGCTCACACAACATTAGTTCGCTCAGCGCTGCATCTGTATGTGTGCGTGTGTGTGTGTGTGTATGTGTGTCGGAGCTAGCACAGACAACATCGAGGGCGTTGCTCGCTCACCGCAGGCTTTGGCTCCGCCCATTTGTTGTCTTGGCAACCAGGCGCTGCTCTGTGAACACAAGAGGCCGCTGGCCAATGCGCGTGCGCTGCCCGCGCTGTGTACGTAAGAGAACCGGAGCCTGTCATTGGCAAGACCTCGGAACCGGTGGTGAATCGGTTTGCCAGCTGCCGCTGTCTGTGTGCGTGTGTGTGTGCGAGTGTGTGTGCGAGTGTGAGACGGGAACAGGGCGTGCGTGGCCATGTGCGAGAGCGAGTCGGCGGCTGTGGCTGTCGCTGCTGGCGTCGCAGTCGCTGTCATCGTCATCGTAGGCACGGCGCGGCGCGGCACTTGAGCGCGGCTCGAACAATATTTGTTGGCAGCAAGCGCAAGCCAAATAGTAGACAAGCGTTCCCCTCTGCAAACAGTCACATTCAAGAGCTCAAGCCAAAGAGACACTCGAGCGGACCAGCAACAGCAACAGCACCGGCAACGGCAACGGGAACATCAGCAGCAGCAGCAGCAGCAGCCTCCAGTTGGCTCAGCAGCAGCAAAAGCGGCAGCAGATACAACCTCAGACTCAGACTCAGTGGCCAAAAGCCAGCTAACAATTCGAGTTCGTGCGTCGGTTCGTTGCGGCGCGGCGCGCATTAAAATAGAGTCATATTTGCCACGTTATTTTATTTCCAAATTTGCACAAGGCATCAGCGGCGCACACAAATAAATTAATCAAAGTGTTTAGCTTCAAGAGCAGCGACAAGTGCACAAACAAATGCCAAAGCCAAACCTGCAGCAACAGCAGCAGCAGCAACAAAAGCTGCAATCCCTTAAAGAATAGACAACATCTAACAACAACAACAACAAGTGAGCAGTGCAGTGCACAAAAATGCAGCAAATATTTAAATTAATTAACGCAGTGACAGTGCATTGAACAACAACAACAACAATAACAACAACAACAACATCAACTACGACAACAATACGATACAAAAAAGTTTTGATTACATTTTTAATTTGTATACATCGAACGCGTCGCTAGAACGCGTTTTAAATTTATTGCATTTGCATTTTAAACGCAGCGCGTTAAAAAAGCCGGCAACATAACGGCGCAACTATTGAACAGCTTTCTCAAGGGGAGTCCCCACCAGACCACCATAGATATAATGCAGAAGCTCTATGCCGAGCCGCCGCCCAGCAGCGCCCCAGTTAGCATGTCCAGCGCTGGCGGCACTGCACCCAGCGGCGGCGGCGGCGGTGGTGGTGGTGGCGGTGGTGGTGCGGTCCCCACCAGCAACAACAACCCGCATCCCACCTCGAATGGCGGCAGCATGAGTCCGCTGGCGCGCTCGGCTTACACCATGAATAGCATGGGCCTCACAGTGGGCGGCATGTCGTCCGTGTCGCCACAAGCGGCAGCCACCTTTGGCGCCAGTGTGCTCGACTCGGCCGCAGCCGTGGCCAGCATGAGCGGCAGCATGGGCGCCGCAGCGGCAATGAACTCGATGGGCGGCAACTGCATGACTCCGAGCTCGATGAGCTATGCGAGCATGGGCTCGCCCCTGGGCAACATGGGCGGCTGCATGGCCATGTCGGCGGCGAGCATGTCGGCGGCCGGCTTGAGCGGCGGCTATGGCACGATGCCACCGGGCACTCGCGACATGGAGCCCGGCTCACCCAATTCAATTAGGCGTGGCGTTGACAAGCCGACCACATACAGGCGCAGCTATACGCACGCGAAGCCGCCGTACAGCTACATCTCGCTCATCACGATGGCCATACAGAACAATCCGACGCGCATGCTGACCCTTTCGGAGATCTATCAGTTCATCATGGACCTGTTTCCATTCTATAGGCAGAACCAGCAGCGCTGGCAGAACTCGATACGCCACTCGCTGAGCTTCAACGATTGCTTTGTGAAGATTCCGCGCACGCCGGATAAGCCGGGCAAAGGCTCGTTCTGGACACTGCATCCGGACTCGGGCAATATGTTCGAGAATGGCTGCTATCTGCGTCGCCAGAAGCGCTTCAAGGATGAGAAGAAGGAGGCCATCCGTCAGCTGCACAAGAGTCCGTCGCATAGTAGCCTGGAGGCAACCAGTCCGGGCAAGAAGGATCACGAGGACTCCCATCACATGCACCATCATCATCACACGAGTCGTCTGGAGCACCATCAGCACCACAAAGAGGCGGGCGGCGGCGGCGGCGTGGCGTTGGCGGGCGTCAACGTGCTCAGCGCAGCGCACAGCAAGGATGCCGAGGCGCTGGCCATGCTGCATGCCAACGCCGAGCTCTGCCTCGGCCAGCAGCCGCAGCACGTGCCCACGCATCACCATCACCAGCACCACCAGCTGCAGCAGGAGGAGCTGTCCGCGATGATGGCCAATCGGTGCCATCCGTCGCTGATCAGCGACTACCACTCGTCGATGCATCCACTGAAACAGGAGCCTTCCGGCTACACGCCCTCCAGTCATCCGTTCTCGATCAATCGCCTGCTGCCCACGGAGTCGAAGGCGGATATCAAGATGTACGACATGAGCCAGTATGCCGGCTACAATGCGCTCAGTCCGCTCACCAACTCACACGCTGCCTTAGGTCAGGACTCGTACTACCAGAGTCTCGGCTATCATGCGCCCGCCGGCACCACGAGCTTGTGACATCACCAGTATCCGCTGGCTTAAGGGCGCGCGGAGCAGATGCTGCGCTTTGGCGGCGGCGGCGGCTCGCATCAGCAGCAGCAGCACCAGCAGCAACACTTGCAGCAACAGCAACAGCAGCACCACTTGCAGCAGCAGCAGCAGCAGCAACAACAGCAGCAGCAGCAGCAGCAACAGGCGGCGCAGCAACTGACATCCGCTACAAACACCACAACCAAGGCCAGCAGCAAGCCAGCGGTGGCCGTCAATTACTCCCAAAAGCTGGCCGCCTCAGTGCAGCAGCAACAGCAGCAGCAGCAACAGCAGCAACAGCAGCAACAGCAGCAGCAACAGCAGCAACAGCAGCAGCAGCAGCAGCAGCTGCTGCATAGCCAACTGTCGGCGGAGCTGCAGGAGGACTCTTCCAACATTACCAGCGACCTCAGCGAGGAGCAACTGCAGCAGCATCAGGCGGCACAGCAGCAGCTCTACAACAACTATCAGCAATATGCCGCTGCGGCCAGTTACCGCAACTGGAATCACAGTTTGACATTCAACAGTGCCGCCGCGTTGCAGAATCTGCTGTAGCCCAGCGGCACAAGGCCCGGCTTTGTGTATGATGCCAGGCCCGAATCACGGACATGGTAGTGTTCGGGCTGTCGGCCTGCCGGGCTGTCGGGCTGCCAATTAGCGGGCGACTGTTCAATGGCTTTTAGCACCTGGGCGCATCCTTTGAGCTCGCGGGCACGTGAGTACGGCTCCTACACTTGTAAATAAATCAACCTACTCTTCTGCAAGCACTTGCTTAGTCTTTGCCTTTATGTTTTTCGTTCTGTTGAGGAATTCAAGAAAAAAGTGATGTAGTTGTAAGCGCAACAACGGCCACATATTTAGGTAATTGTATTAGCCGTTAAGCACAACAAGTTTGTTAACATTTATGTTTGCTAAAAAAACAAGAAATTCCGTGCCATTTGTTTATCCTCTATATAAGCAATTACAAACATGCAGCATTTTAAATGTGTGTGAAAGAAACCGATATATATATATACACAAAGAGACAAAGAAGGAGAGAGCAAAAGCATAGCGGGATTGTGTGTAATGTTCATTTATAAATCAAATCCTTTATCCAAAGGCAATCGAATTCGAATCGCAAATGATCAAAAAACCAAAAACACATAGAAAATATCCAACAACAATTTCAAGACAAGACCCCCCAAGAATCCTCAAATTTATCGAACTAAGCAACAAAATTTGGCCATGCATTGGAAACGTCACGTTTTTATCATATAATTTTAATGTATAAATTAATTCCATCTTTTTTATATGTGTGTACAATAACAATTACCCATACATTTTTTATTTGCATTGTACGTTTTCTGTTATTGTACGAATTCGTTTAGGCTTAAGACAATTTGTAAATAGTCTATAAATATATGTGTATGTATATCGTATTTAAGGCAGCTAAAATTAAACTCGACGCCCAAAACAAAAAAAAAAAAAAAAAAAAAAAACAAATAACAAAAAATTTTAAACTAACTTGAGAATTAATCAAATTGTATGCTACACAACATTAACAAATATTGTATAGCATTTAACATTTAATTAGCATAAATAAAAAAGCAAGACAAAATACGAAAAAAAAACAAAACAAAGAACGAAAAAACTGCAATTATTATTCAATAATTTTTAATATTAATTTTATTATTGTGCGTAAACAAAATCACATACAGGCGCATTTTTACATTGAGCTAAGCTAATTGATTAAACTTAATAAATGCAAATAGTTTAAATATGGCAAAAAAAAAAAAAACAAAACAAGAAGAAAATAAACAAAACAATAAATAAAACACAATGTAAAATACACGCATTGAAATTCATAAATGTCAACATAAAATGAAATAATGAAATTCCAAAATCTAAAGCTAGTTAAAATTAATATTATAAATCATGCAAAAATTAAAAAAAAAAGACTATTTTAATGTTTGAAATATAAAAAAAAATGAAATATATCATCAATTCGTTTGAACTTTCCATAAGGTACATACATATGGGCTAATCAAAGCGCTGCCATTGTTTATTTAAACAACTGACCTCCAACAAGACTTTCTGTATTGATTGGATCGAGCTATGGAACGACCGATAGCGCCTGTGGCCTGAAACCGAACTCAACGTGTGATTCGAAGAGTTCTTGCCTATCTTATCGCGACTCGGATGTAGAGTGCAGTTTTCTCTCCTGTTTTCGTTTTTGATAAAAAAAAAACTTATCGCTGTGCACTCGTAAATTGCAACGAAACAACAAGGTAAACAAATGCCAACAACAACTATCCTGACTAGTGCGATAGTCACCAAGCCCTGGCCCTAGCCCAAATGCAGCATTGTGTCCCTATTTGCTAGCTGGTAATATACATATGACACCTAGGACTGGTTGATTCCCTATCTGCTTCTTATCTGTGCAATATAAACAACAACCACGACTGATCCGACGCAGTTACCCTTTACACAGACTATATAGTATAGTGCCTCGTATACCTACCTATACTATATATAACTGCTGAGCCCATGGTTGCTTATCTTTGTGATTCATTTCAAGAATCTACAATTTGTCTGGTCTGGGCTCTCATTTATATTTCACGAATAAAGTACCTTTCCAGCGCCTTAGACACTTATCTGCTTGGTGCGATGCATGTGGTACGCGGTGTGCGGTATCCGGTCATGTTTAACAAGCTGTTGTCTTTTTAATTAAGCAGCTTGGAAGGTCACCATTTTCTATGTATATCAATTTGTTTGAGCCGTTGCTTTAATACTTTTTATGGCCTTTACTCGCACAGAAGTGCCGCTTTGTTTGGGGGAGGAGGACACGAGACAGACACGATAAAATGGCGTTGGCTTGTTGTCGCTTCGATTTCGATTTTCTTTCCTTGACATTGTGAGTGCCGTCAACGTTTGCTCGGAGTTTCTTCATTTTAGTCGCAAGCAACCCCCTCGGAATTGAACTGGTTTTCAAATCTGTGCTTTGGGGTTGTTTCCACCAAATGACCCCATCCGCACCACCACCCACAAGCATTTTATTCACATTCTATATTCTAAGCCCCTTCATGTCAGACATGCGCTCTGCAAAGAAATTCAAACCCGATGCCAGTCAGGGGGCTTGGGTTTGTTGTGCTCGAGCTCTCAAGTCTGTCAGTTTTCTAGCTATCTGTTAATAAATGCCAAAGCAGGCAAAGTTGATTCGCCTGTGCACGCGATCAATATGTATTTATGTTTACATATAACAGACAAGTCGACGATTTTGGCATTGCATATAAAATTCGATTTAAAAAGTTTGAGCTTTAAGCAACAGTCCAACCAATCCCACCAGCCGAAATTGCTGTCACAATACAATTACACAAATTGTCATGACATTTGGTTCAGCATTAAAAATGAATGCGATTCCACTGGCTGGTAAACATTGAATGGAAGGCCATTGCAGACTAAAAATCTAATTAAGAAAATGTTTAAAATATTTATACTAACGTTTTTGTAGTTTTGTCAATCAGTGATAAGGAAGAATATACATGTACATGTACGAAAAAGCTTTAATCTGTTTGTTTTTAATGTTAAATAAATAAACTTAGAAGTTGCAGTCCGGTGCAATATATTTTATTATAAATAATGTTGTTTGATTCGAGGTCAGTTTTGTTCATAACAACAAGGTATAAACTCCAAGTGTGCGCAGGTTGTCTCTACAACTATTTCAAGAAGCTTCCAGTCCAACAACACTTTGCAAGGCATTTTCCTCAGTCTGAAGCTATAACCACTTGAGAATTATAAGTAATGAAAAGGCGACAAAGCTAGCGAAACCAAAGTCTACTCTTGTACACTTATCCCTGGGACATACATTGATTAATAATCCTAATACATTATCTGATCAGGATAAGATATAAGAATATTGTAATAGATTCTAATCCTCAAATTCATACGTACCCTAAGCAAAATTTAAATATTTTATTGGAATTTTATTTTTAAATAGTTGATTTATTTTTTATCATACAAATTTTAGTTGTGTGAATTTGTTATGCTATTTTTGGTTAGTTTTTGTGTATACAACAAGACGGTTTTTTTTATTAAAATATTGTCCATTTGAATGTTAGACATAAAAAAATAGTTTTCCTTAAGACAAAGTACTGCTGCATTTTAATTTGAGAAAAATGGATGTATATTTGTATTTATTTATTAACATATTCTATTTTCATCTATGCGTAAGCTTACTTTTAATACCAAATCAAAGTACCGATTTGGACCAGTTGGCTAAACCACAAAAAGCGAATTTTAGTTTAGTCTCGATCTCGTTGTGGAGAGTGGGCCTTGGGTTAGGGAGCATCCAATTAGCTGGTAAGCTTTTTCTGCTGCTCTTAAAAACCACAATCTTGTAGTAATTTTCTAATGGAATATTTAATTTCGAAACGAGACACAGAAAGCTAAACAGAGCCCAGCTGGCACTGGGGCTGCCAACGAAGCCAAGGTGGGGGGACACAAAAGAGACTCTGTTATAAAAATGGCAACCCTTTTTGCTCCCCAATGCGGCGCACACGTAAAAGCAGCAGCAGTAGCAGCAGAGTCAGCTTATGCCGGATGGATACACAGGAAGTAGCGTCACAGAGAGCCCCGTCTCCGGTCCCGTTTTCGTTCCCCCCTTCCAGTGCATAGAAGGGGCAAAGACAGCGCACGTAGCAATGGCGGAGGCAACATCGTCGTCGTCGTCGTCTGCGTCGTCGTCGTAGTCGACATCGTTGTAGTCACCGCACTTTTTATTTAGCTGCAGGGCCAGAGCTCGCTCCGCTGGTTGGGTAGCCATGCCCGTGCCCGTGCCCCCGCCCCGTGACCGTGTTATGGGCCGCCCCCTTTCGCTTGCTTTGTGCACTGCTTTTTCATTATAATAATACTTTGTAATTAGGTTTTCGAAAGTTAATTAAAATTCGGTTATGAAAGCGGAAACTTTCTCATGAACGCTTCCGGTAACGGTAAAATGAAAAACGCACGAAGGCGGGGCCGCAACAACAGGACCAACTGGTGTTGGGGCTGGATCTGATTCTGGAACTGGGTCTGCGGTCTGCTTCGTGTTAGCCAAATGGCGAATAAAAAACCAAAAAGGATTTTCAGTTGGCCCCAACCCCGTTTAGCCGGAGACAGACACAAATTCGGGCAACGAGTTGAAGTTGGAGCTGGAATTGCGGAGAGACAACGCACGGAGCTCAACTTTGTTTCGAGGAAATTTTTGTGCAAACATTTCTGTTAAATTAAAAAATACATATTATATTTTAATGAGCAAAATGGCTGCTGCTGCTGCTGCTGCTGCTGCTGCTGCTGCTGCTGCTGCTGCTGCTGCCAACGTGTTCTTGTTGCTGTTGTTGTAGTCACGTTTAATGCGCGCCGCGCCCATTCGCAAGGTTGGCCAACATTGCGAACGGGATAATTAAAATGATGACTTGAAAATAAATTGCTGTTATCTTTGACCAACAGACTGGCTCCGACTCCATACCCATACCCATACCCATTCCCATACCCAGGCCAAGACCCAAGCCCCCCAGCCGGGCTGTCTGTCGATGACGCGTCGATGTCGATGTCAACAGTCGCCACATCATTATGCCCCTTCTCGACTCCGGTTCCGGCAACGGCTATGGCTCTGGCTCTGGCTCTGGCTCTGGCTCTGGCTCCTCGCCACACGCGCTCTCTGCTGCTCAGCCTGTGTGAGTGTGCTCTATCAGCGCTTGCCGCCGCTGCGTGCCTCTGAGCGACACTTATGGATTAGGCCAATAGCAACAACAGCAACAACAACAGCGAGCCTGGCTCCGGCTGACAAGTGCCCGTCTTTGCCGGGTTGTCCTTTTTGCCGCTGCCGCTGCTGCATTTATCGTCGACGTCGGCGTTGCTGCATTGTGTTTTGTTTATCTTAAACATTCCACACATAATTAGCAGCAAAGCCTTCCCCGCTTTAGCAGTCGACTCCCCCTCGCCTGCCCAGACTCGCTCGCTAGCAAATTGAAATTAATCCGTGAAACCTTACGTTCCGAAAATGCGGGCACGTGTCCTCGAAATCACTGCTGGACCACGCTGCCATACACTGCCACGCGTCCTGCTTTTGCCAGTTTTGTGCTTGGCAATCAAAACATAACAAATCGCCCATCGGCACGAGTGTGAAGTTTAACGGGGCATAATCTGAGAAGTCGCTGCCATAAGTTTTGGCATGTAGAGCACCACTCACATCTCATATCTGGGCATCTGTATCTGTATCTCTGTATCTGCAGTCCAGCTTAGCTGCAGCGGCAACGCATTAATCACATTCGGCAGTTGTGGGTGGGTGGGCGGCCATTTGTGGTTGGCTGGCGAGTTGCTGGTGGCCCGTGGTTCGAGCTCTGCGCTGTGACAGTGACTGATGTGCTGGCAGCAAGGGCAGCGCCGACAGCCGCTTATCGATTGGCAGCCGCAACACACCTTTATCAGGCAGCCAGCCCCAGTAGCAGCAGCAACTAGATTGGATGAAATGCGAGACGACGCCGGCAACGCTGCTAATAACCAAATTGTGTTTTGAAAGCAGGCGGGCGAGAGCCAATGCTTGGGCTTGCGGCTAAAATCATTGGAATATGATAAATGTCCTGGATCATGTTTGCTCGACAATCGCCCCTAAAAACCATCAGCAATATTTTCACCCGAGCCTTCATGCATAATTATATAAATATTCACAAATTGACAGAACTGACGGCTAAAGTGCACACAAATATAATATAATTTATATGAAAAAAAAATTTCCAAACTATCTATTATTTAATAAAAGTGCCAGAGCTTAATTTGTACGTTCTTTGAGAAAACTAAGAAAATGAAAATGAGAATGAAATAAACTAGTTTTTGTTTACAAAATCCACATATATATATATAAAAGATC